AGTCAACCACTAATAAACACTTTTGTCATCAGACACATTATTCCTTAAGAGTCATTTCTCCTAAATGTTGTAGCAAATTTGCTAATCGCTTGGAAAACACTTAAGGTATGAACATTCTAATTTAAATGGCATTTTATAAATTAAATGTCTAACAATCTATGTAAATCATCCAATCACTACCAAGGTTGTTAAATGTCATTTGCAAAAAAATTTCCATAACATTATTCAAACCCCTCCCCCCACCCCACCCCCCCCCCCCCCCCTCTGTTTCCTTTCTAGTGTTTTCCCGCAATTTCACAAGCAAGAGGCAATCACACAAAGACTCAATGTATCCAAGAAGAGAAAGATCTAAATAATTTGGCATGTTTCAAAGCTATATATTCTGTGAATTTATGATAGTAGAAGTTCAAATGAGGATGTCAAACCTTTAGTTTTGTCCACCTACTTCATCTTCTAGTGCTATATAAACAACATAAGGTCTCCTTTGTAAGTACACCTTCAAATTTGAATATAAAAAGTGTTTTGCATTCAATTGCATTCCTTCTTTGAGATAGAATTATGTCTCTTAGTCTAAATTTGGATCTTATCTTATGAAGAACTAGTGGCGATCCTCCTTGGTATTTATCTTGGTTCTTTTCAAGTGGCATGACTTCTAATTCATAAGTTTCCTTTCCTTTAAAAGTTGTAAGTCATTTATAGTTTCTAATTCATTTTCTATGTTATTGAATGATCTAAATTCTTAACTATTTAGTTTGTCATTTTAGTGTAACCAGCAGCTAGATTCATGGGAATGTGGCTTCTATGTGATGTGTAAGACCATCATTCGAGCTGTCATTACAGATGACTGGAATGAGGTAATGATGTATACCTTGAATACATTACAAATCAAATTCATCTTCAAACATATATGAAACCATAATGAATCTTTCTTGAATTTTGCAGCGCTTCAAGAGTACATCGCCTATTCCAGACGACACAATTAAACAGATAAGGCAGGAGTGGACCGCTTATCTTCTTCAAAGATGGAGTTAGGAATAGTTTTATTTGTTGTTGAACATTGCTTAGTTTTAGTTTAAGTTTTATGTTGATAGTTTTAGTAGTGGATTATAGTTTACATTAAGTAGAACTTTGTTTATATGAAACGATTATTTATATTATTGCAAAATTGTTCTAGGACAATTTTCTGCTTTTCAGGTGTGGTTTTATTGCAAAAATAAATTAATTTTAAAAAAAAAACGCCCAGTAGACGTCGGTTAGTGCACTATCGGACGTCTATAGACGTCTGGCAGTGCACAAACGGACGTCCAACCCTAGCCCCTACCACAAAACAATCAGGCAGGTAGACGTCGGGGGAGGGAGGAGACGGACGTCTATGGGGACGTCAGACGGGCACGTGGGGACGTCTATATGGACGTCCGGCCTGACAAACCGGACGTCTATATACACGTCCGGCCTGACACACCGGATGTCTATATACACGTCCGGCCTGACACACCGGACGTCTATATACACGTCCGGTGTGAACCCCCGACGTCTGAGTAACGTCACCCACAAAGACGTCGGGGGAACGTCGGACGTCAAAAGGCCAAAAGAACGGACGTCTAAAGCCCTTGTTGCACTAGTGTTTCTCTTACAGTTTTAGTCTTTTGATTCCATTTCCTAGTTATTCTTGTTTAGTTCTTAGTTTTATTTCTATTTAGGCCTGTTGTTCTATATCATCATCCTATTTTCATTTGCCTTGAGCATACAATTATACCTTTCCCACATCACGTTATACCCGAATGAATAGAAAAACATCATACCATATACAAGCAATCAATAAAAATTGGAATAGCTCCCCATACCTAGAATTTGTTCTTCCTCACAACAAAAGCACTACCACTATGCTCCAAAACCCTTTGTGTCTCTCTCTCAACTCATTCTCTCACTCTTAAGCTACTAGAATGTTTGCTTTGCATGCTTACACCCCATTCTCTCTCGTCCATTCTATAAGTTTCTCCTCACACCCCCAAAATGAATTATTGAACCCTAGAATTATAATATCCTAATCTTATATTCCCTAAACCCTAAAGAAAACACAAAGAAGTAAAAGGAGAAAAAAAGTTTCATTGCCAGTTAGGTTCGAACCCACTCATAAATAAGCATACAACATACAACCACTAAGTCAAGCTTAATTCATTGATTATATGTCCATTAAATATATATTTAAGTTATCTTATTTCTCCTATTTCACATTTTATACAATTTAACTTAAACAATTTTTTTTACAACACATAGACATTTGCATGAGACCTTTACCCCCACCATACTAAGCTCTGACTTATTAGCAACATGGTACTTTTATAATTTATTTAAAAACAAACAAGATTCTCATACAAATCAAATATCCAATGACGTCTACAACCAAAGACTTACATATAATACGTCACTTGAGTCTCTTTAAAGGGACTTTATAGATATTCACATCATGTAAACAAGCTACAAAATTCTCAATAAAAATTAAATCAAATCTAAAACAATTTGAGCATACGTTATGAAACCATGTACAACATTATACTCCTCCACAAGAATCTCAACAACCATTCACAACATAATTACAACAAGTTACAGATATACACAACAAAAACTAAACGAACTCACTTTTCAAGACCCAAAAAAATTTCAAAAATTTGTCTCACCACAAATGCAACATCCCAATTTAGGATGTTAGTAGGAAAATATAGTACCTCTACCAAAACAAGACTTTCATGTTTACCAAAATAAGGCATACTCATCAAAGTAGGACTTTCCTAATCGCCAAAGCATGACCTATTTACCAAAATAGGACTTTCTTGTTTACCAAAACAAGGTCTACACATATGACTTTCTCGAGTTTACCACCAAAGAGATAGTAAGAAACAAAGTGTTAGTAATCAATCACACACAACCAACACTACACAATGATTCACCATATAAACCTCATAACTCATTCAAACACACCTCTTTATCCCACTCAAAAACTACATAGCATAAAACATCACAGTTCATATAAAAGATATATGATCAAACCCAAAAACGCACTATAAAAAAAATATGACTAACATTATAACTTAACCATCCAAAACTGATTGTCATAATATACCAAACAATCCCAATAATATTGTAGCGGCTAAATTAAAGAGTTTATCACACCAAAATATGCCCAAAACAGCCCCTACTATCATTGCACCAAATGCCAACTTTTTCCAGCCAATAATAGCGCACTGAAAATCAACACGTTTCAAGCCTCAAATCCTTCCAATTTACTTGTCAAATTGCATTATATTTTTCAAAATTAAACAAGGCACCAAAACAGATTTATAATCATCAAATATCATTGCACCAATACAATTAAAAACTCATATCCCAAATTAATATCACAGTTACTAAAACCAAATAAAAAATACCACACAAGTTCTCAATTATTAACCAAAGCCAACATTTAAATATCTTGAATATTTTAATAACTACCAAAACTATAAGTTTTAAAAAAATATACAACTCAGTCATATAATTAATATATATATATATATATATATATATATATATATATATATATATATATATATATATATATATATATATATATATATATCCCAATACTACAATCTTCTTTAATAATACTTATTATTAGTAAATTTTATTTAATAATAAAAACTATAATATTAACAATAACAAAATAAAGATTATGAATTGACGTAACCCTGGATATAAAAAAATACATGAGTTTTTATATAAATTATTTTAATCTATCAAAACCATGATATCAATGCCGCACTGATCAAGTGGTCAATACGTCACTCCAATTTCTAAATAAAGGTCGAACTTCAACATAAGGCGCGTTGGCTTGAACGCTGTCACTTTTAACGCCCAAAGGCTTTTGTCTGAGGAAATGTTTTGAAACAAAAACATTCACAACACTTTACCTAACAATTTAAGATTGTGCTATTGATGACATCAGTGTATGAACGCACACAACTTTTATAAAAAACACCATAATATATGTGATGAGAAAATCAACGTGATAAAAATATACTTCCCGGTGCTGTTTTTGTTCTTAAAGAAAATTTTCCAATCACTTTTCAAAAACAATTTCATTGGCTTAACAATAAATAAAAGCACCGCATGACTCAACGTTGGCAAGGCAGCAACAGAAATTAATTTAGAGCCAAAACAATTCTTGAAAACAATACTAGCGTAAGTGATTTTTTTCTTCCAATGCATAAATTTTCAATCCAAATCTCAATGACCCAATCACTAAAAAATTCATGGATAGACATGGCAGCACATCTCACAAATACAAAAGGCAATGTTAGCACCCTCATAACAACAAACCTTTAGAATTATACAAAACAGACTCTAAACATACCTTTCCTTACCTCACAACCAATCAAAAAGTTCCAAATCTTCTAAGTTTTCCTAACAACTTGATTTCTAGATTTGAAGCAAAACTGTTCTTCTCTCAAACATCTCTCATTATTTTCTTTTAATGACTAGTATTTTCATTTTAACATAATATAAATAAGAGACATACTTGATGATATTAGGTTTATTGTGTGAAATGTAAAAGTTTATTGTTTTCATAATATATTAAAATAAAATTATCTTTATCTTAATTGATTATGATCAATTATTAGATAATATATTTTATTTTAATATCTTTCCACACATATTTTAATTAATATGTTAATTTCATTCTCCCCACTTTAACTAATTTTTTTCAATCACATGCACAAATTATTATAAATATTAGTGCACACCACATGCTCATAAAACAAATAATAAACATGTATTATGTATACAACAAGAATTTGACTAAAAATATATAAGAAAAAGCTTTAACCATCGCTATTATATATACTTCATTACGCTAATACTTATCTTTTATTATTTTAATTCATAATACTCTCAATAATTATTTTTCATAACACATACATGAGTAATCAAATGTTATAAAAAAAAAACTATTATATTAAAAAATATAAAGAAAGTAATAATTTATTGTAAAAGAAGAACTTAAAAGATATTACATGACATTCACTTCAACCCTTACAAAATTATTAAATAATGCTTACTGCATACATACTTATTCTCCATACGAACATGTTTATTATTTAAATAACGTCATAAATCAAGACATATTCTCAACTGACATATTCTCAACTGTTGGTGATTGACGGAGTAGGCACATAGCTTCCAATGGATTTTTTCTTGAAATAGTAATTCCATTTGCTTCAGACATATCAATTTCTTACTTACCAATTCGTTTCCACTCAAAACATTGAAGTAATAAAGCTATAGATAAGCCAACTGTGCGTTGAGCCAAGTTTGATCCAGGGCAAGCCCTCCGACCTAACCCAAATGAAAGTAACCTGTTTACTTCATTTTCGTTCTCAAACCTTTCAGGATTAAAGTGTGTTGGATCACTCCACATTTTTGGATCCATATGGGCAGCCCAAGCATTCACCAACACAATTGTGTCTTTCGGGAGATTATATTTTCCTACAATGCAATCTTCTGAAGACAAATGTGGTGACCAAATTGGAGCAGCAGGATGCAATCGAAGTGTCTCGTAAACAATGCATTGAATGTAAGGAAGTTTTGACATGTCAGATTCCTCTACGAGACGATCTGATCCTACATGAGTGTCTATTTCATTTTTTGCCTTCTTTATAACTTCTGGATGGTTCAATAAATTAGCCATTGTCCATTCTAAAGTTAAAGCTGATGTATCTGTTCCGGCAAGTAGCAAGCTCTGTAAAAACAATAAAAAATAGTATCAATGCATAAACAGAAGGGAAAAATATCCTTCTTAATTTCTTTAAAATTAATTACTAGATAACCAAAAATTTTATTCTTTTGTTTTGAATCTAAACAAAATGGACGATAAATTTGTTACTGAAGTAAATATACTTCTTCTTTTTTTAATACACACAAAGGTTTTAAAGTTATCATTTAAAATTACACTTTAGATTAAGTGATGATGATTGACATACATATTGCACATTCACATATTTCTAGTAATTATTTGGATAACTATGTTCATCATGTTAATTTTATCACTTTCGAAAACAAAATAGTGATGTACACATAAAAATGAGAAA